AGCAACTCATCCAGAATAATTTTCGACTCGACGATACGCTTTCCCAGCCCGTTGCACGAGCCAGTTCGATTCTAGAGGACCTCCAGCACGCAGCTGGTGTACGCGCTTGGCAAGCATCCACTCCCCGAATCCAGCATCCCACACACACGCACCTCACCAGAAGTCAGCTATATTGGGAGCACGTAACTCACGAGCGCGCTCGCTACACCGCACCCACCGTGGGATTGGTGGCTGGCCGCGTGGGGGGAGGGCGAAGCTAGGTAACCTGAACGCGCCTCGCGTGCGCTGACCTGAAGGTCTTGGCGATGTTGGAGGCGGCCAGGCAGGGGCCTTGAAATCGGGGCTGCGGTCGAAGCTGGAGTTTGCGGCTCGGGGCCCGGGCCTCTTCAGTTGAGGACTGGATGCGCGGCACGGGGGGGGCCTTGGTGTTTGAGGTGGCGAATAGCAGAGCTGGGCGCACTAGACGCCGGAGAAGGAAGTGGAGGGTGGGGAGGATGGCTTCCCCGTCCGATCATCAGGGGTCTTCCGGTAGGTTCAGCTCCGCAGCCAGCTTCGAATCGTCTTCCACCTAATACTACCAGTGCTACCAGGCTACGGTCCCACTAGGCTAGTACGACCGGACAGGCACAGCAAGGTCAGGACCGCATCCAGGAGCGGCGGCAACAAGGATGATGCTATGGATGAACCCGACGTTGTTGTTGATCAAGGCGATGGTTTGATGACCCGACATTGGTGGTGCAGAGAGGGGTAAGGAGGCGGCGCGAGCCGGGGGTCGTGGCGCGGGAGACGCCTCGCTGTCACTCGCCCTGTGCGGTTGCGTCCCGACTCGTGGTAACGCTGGGAGGCCGCGTGACACAACTCAGGTCCGAGTGCCGTCCCTTTCGTCAAGGGTGGTGGGGGACGCATGGCATTGAAGGAAGTCAAGAAGTCATCCTGCGGAATTCTGGCTCCATGCACAATGCGGCACTCAGGCCGCCTTCAGAAAGGTGCATTTGCGAAATACGGCGATGGTAATGCCCCCCACAGGCCAATGAGCATCTCAGCACGTGTGCATCGGGGCTGCCAGGGGCCACTGCGCTGACCATTCACAACAGGCACTCTGCACAGCATTGATGTCTAGAAGGTGGGATTCTTAAGCCAATTAATGACCTTGTTGATGCTGTTCTGACAAGCATCCTGGCGGGATGCCATTGTGAAGGGAGCCATGTTCTGTTGATATTGCCATTCCTGCCATTACAGCAAGACAAAGGCTAAGGGCACACCTCAGAGGCGGAAATCTTTTGTGTGCTGTACTTGTATCGATCAATCAGCTTCCTCACAACGATGCATGCCTCTCTATACCCAGCGATGTCGTTTGTGACTGTTTTGCTCAGAGCATTGCAACACTGCAGGATCGTGTGACATCGCAAAAGGTCGAATTGACAACTTGTATCTATCCGATTTCTGTCTTTTCAATTTTGCATTTGCGAGCCTAAAGGATGCAGCCTCAATTTTGGCCCACACAGGTGCCCATTGTCTCCATTGCTCTCAGAAAGGTATCCGTACAATCTGTGATAGGTAGGCAACACCAGCACCCAACCAAAGTGGCAGCTGCAAAATATGGCAACGCCAGAGTTGGCCCTGGACACATCTTGGTTGTTGCCTTGGTGCTGTCAGACACTTTGCTTGGCCACAGATGACAAGGAATCAATTGAAACAGAGTATTCAAGCAAACTTTGATGCAACAAATGCATGTTGTCAGTTAAGCAGTGCTGCCACCGAAATTGCACATGCGAGGAATCCAGATCTATCCAGATAAGTTGAAGTATCCTGGCACTGTTGCAACATACATTCCATTGCTACCCCCAGCTCGGTCTACCCATCAATTCTAAATGCAGAAATGTTGACCTCCATGTGGAATGGCGCAGATTGCTAGTTGTGTGGGGGCATCTCTGCAAGCTGCTTGCTGCCTCTTGGATCTTTCAAGTTTATTTAAAAATGTCTCCAAAGTACCAAGGCGGCTGAAAGCATTTCTTCCATTTCAATATTTCATCGCCTTCAAACGCTCAGGTACCACCCTCACCCTGACAAGCTGTTGTGGCAGTTGGTTGTGGATGCTTAGATGGGCAACCATAAGCCCTCTTTGGCAACCGAGATGCTATGTCAAGATCCACTTATGCCCATTAATCTTTTGGCATGCTGCAGTTACACAAAAGTCAAAATGGAGAATTCTGGAATTAACTAGGTGATTGTAATGCCATGGTACCCATCCAGCCACTGCAAGAGATGTTGCACACAGTAATCTTCACAAACGTCTGTGCCCATGAATGGCTCAGCGGGCTGCATTGAAAGTTGCAACACTACCAGCCTAAGGCACATGTTATCCAGAATGTCAAGTCATCTGATACTGTCACATCCGAATTGATAAAGATTGGACAAATGCTTGTCATCGTCAATATGGCAACCCAAGCTGTCCCGTGGCAGACTTCTAAACAAAATCTACAAATTTGTGAACAGGATCCCTGCAGTCTCTCCTGTGCATGGTTGTGGCCCATGCGTGGCCCTGCATTACTCTGTGTTGTAATGCTGTGCACCCCATCGGTTCCAGATCATGTGCCAAATGCACCTTTTCTCCAATCATTTCACCAAGCAACCATAAGTAGGCATCCAGGACCAGGGTACAATGTCCAGACTGGGAGTGGCTACTATAGAAAGAAGAAAAAGATTCTGCATGCACACTGAACTTGCCTATGTTGACTGTCAGCTTTGAATGCCATGTTTAACACAATGTCAACACACACAGATGTGCTGGTCTATGTCCCCAGGTCAAGTTTTTGACTCAGCTGGGCACAAGATGCTCATGGCCCTGCAAGCAGAGAGTCCCTGAAATTTTGAAAAGCGGCGAAGGACTGTGATAGATTCTGTCACATTCCAGCCAGGCTCATCGTGGAGCACAGCATCTTCACCTTCTGCAGAATCGTGGCCACCTGGCATATGCATGTGAGCCCATGAAGATAGTGTATGCTGTTGTCCGTTGAAGGTGCTTCAGTGCATTTTAGCAGCAGCTACACACAATTACACAGGTGCAGACATGCAAGGCGGACTGAGCTTCTTCCTTGTTTCGCAGACGCCCATGTCTCTGCTACCATCGATCACTGCCAATTCTGTCTTAGACATGGATGCATCGACCACAGAGCACCACTGAGCGCCAAGAGTTTGCCTGATTTGGCCCACAGGGTGCCAATTGCGGCCTGTGTCTTCACACGCAACAGGCAAATCGGGAGAAGATGGCGGAGTGCCCTCACAGAAAAGTGATCTGGCTGCGCCCAACGTCCCAAACCAGGGCCACGGACGGAGCAATGAAAAAGGAAGGGAAGGGAAGACAATTCCCGTAGCGGCAGCGCCTCGAGCCCCGCCGTTCATGAGGCATCGGAAACGCAGAGCGACGAAAAGTTGGGGGGACAGCAATCCTCTGGTCAGCACCGGTGCTGACCACGGTACCGTGGTCAGCGCGGTCAACCTCTGTTGCGAGGGCCAGCGTGGGGCCAATTTACGAGCTTACAAACGGGGTTGTCCAATCGGGGATGCGGAATGAATGTATCAGCTGGCTCGATTTGGGCGCCCCGTATTTCGGGTGTCGGCACCACTGCGACTAAGCGGACCGGAGCAGAAACAGGTTGAAGGTGGTGGCGCAAACCCGCGCCAGAGCCTCGTCGGCTGCGCGAGAAAGGTAGACCCACTCGCAGCCGACGGCCCGACAGACTCCTGTAGATCCGGGATGCTGTGATTTTGCAGGCACCGCTCTCGTGAAAGAATGGCGCGAGTTGTCTCCGAAGAGCCCAAATTGGCTGGCGACGCCGCGCGAAAGAACCCCGGCACCAATCGATACGCGTCCGCGTCGATTCCCTCATCGTCGCGGTGTGTATACAGGTCTGGAATTGATGGAAAGATTCGCAGAGCGCAGTTGGTGTCGATGAAACGCTTTCTGGGGCCTGTTGGGGGCTGTGCCGTGCAAGCGGTCACAAGGGCGAAAGCACCCCTGCTCTCGGGGCGGCGCCTTTCCAGTCGCTGCCACCTCGCCCGGAATGGCGCAAGGGATTTCGTGGGCAGTGGCGCTCATGGCTTTTCGCGGCACGAGAGCAATGTGTTGGTACCTCGCCCCGTGCCCTTTTTGTCTAGCGTTATGACGTCCTTGTGCACCGCGAGCAAACCCTGGTGCCCTGTCCAGCGTGTCGCGTTTCTCGTTGCTGTGATGGATTTATGCGTTCATTGGTCCGGCCCATTCCAGATCTTCCGCCCTGTGGCGTCCACGTTTGTCAGCCGTCGGCCGAGGCTTTGTTCCGGGGTATTGAAAGCTATTTGAGCCGTCTCTTGTGGCCGTTCAGAACCTTTTCTATGGGAGGCGAGGCCCGGTGTGGGGGGGCGGCCTTTTTCCATATGGAAAATGTGGGTGGGATATGATTTTTACCGTGCTGGGAAGTTAGGTTCTGGCTGGGCTGGGAGGTGGGCGGCTAAGATGTGGTGCGTCAACGGGAATTTTATGCATCGTTGGGTCAGTTCTCTTGCTATTTTTGACTGCGGAGTTCCTTTGGTTCCTTTGCCTTTCGTGATTGTAAATAGAGGGTAATGGGAAGATGCAGGTGCAGCACGCCATAGCTAGTATGGAGCCTGTATGCAATGGGACACTGCGCAGCACTGTGTTGCTGACCTTGCTGCTTGCATGCAAGTTTCCCTTTGCTGGAGGCGTTGACGATGTTGAAAGGTGACCCAATCCCCACAGCACCCAACTTTGGAGATGCTGTTCAGCGTTCTGGGTATGGTCCTCCAGAATTAGAAACCCATGCATATCAACTTACACAGATCAAGCAGTTGCCTCCACACGATTGCAAACAGCTCTCACCAGGAGTTGGCACTGGCGTTTCCCTGCTCCAAGAGCCTTGTTTGCAGGAGCAGGGACGTCGCTGGGGCACTCCTCTTCCATCCTGTGTTTTGGGTGGACTCCTGTTCAATGAGAGTGCGGCATGGCATTCATTTGCTGCAGTTGCAGGTCTCAGCTAGCTGTTCTGTCAGAAGCGCCAGTGTTCTCTTCCGCCATTTTTCCTAGAGAGCTGTGGACACTTGCTCTCAAGGACTGTGTGATGGTAACTGAGGAACCACATATCAAGGTGATGTCGATCGCCCAACTGCCAACGAATGTGCTGGCAAAAATGGCACCAAGAAGCATTTAAGATCTCACAACCCATTTGACCCTATGTGAACAGTTTCTGACTAAGTAAACTGTGTGAAATGGGCAGCTTGTGGACAGTGAGGTAGTGTGTCCATTTCAGTCCATTTGTTCTGTTTAAAGTGGCAAGCTTGCTATAAACAGGGCCATCCCATTCATTCCAAGCATGTCACCTGCATAGATGCTGCTGATGTTGTCATTGATGAGGTCATAGAAGCACTGTGAGCAAACAGTGGGAATGCTAGTGATACAGGTTTATTGTTTCCAATGTGGCTGGACACTGCTTACCTGGATATCTTCAAGCTTCTCCCAAGTTGTCTGAATGCATTCCTTATCTATTTTTTCATTTGCCGGTGCTTCCATTTGGATGATAGATCTTCTGGCAAGCTCAATGTTTTGGGCTTCTCTTGGCCGCATCAATGGATATAGATCATGACCTGGGCACAAATTTCTTGGACTGTGCTGCATCTGATATCAAGGCCGTTGGAAACAAAGGGACCCTCTTTGAACATCACATATTGCAATCTACACCTGTAGTCACGCTACTGTTAGTGCTGACCTTCAAGTTTGGCCAGGTAATAGCCCAAGCCTCACACGATGTGGAGGGAAGCCTGGCATTGTTCATGGCAGCAGCGGCGGTCACACTCGCGCTGTGCGTGCTGAGGAAGGTAACGGTGCTTCTTGTGCTAAATTGGACACTTGAGGCATTTTGGGGTGAAAGGTGGCTGAGAGCTTTGTGCTCACTATCTAGCCTGAAAACGATTTCTCGAATGAAAGCAGGGTTCTGCAAACATGTGCATTGCCTGCGTTAGTCAAGGGACTGTTGCACTGGCAAATTTTACATGATGCTGTTGGTTCATGGCTGGCTGCACCTCTGAATAGAACTGTACAGAGTTAGAAGGAAGTGTGTTCATTTCAAGAATGCCCTGCAGTAAACTATGTATATATTCACCCATCAGCACTTTTGCACTTATCAGGGCTTGTTTCCAGCCAGTAACAATGGCATGCCAACTGTGTCTTGCAGGAACTGCAGAGACTAAGCAAAATTGAGCCAACGGTAAGCTGAACCGCATTTCAGCAGCTGGAATTCATCACCAGAATTTGGCTGCTTCCATCCTTTTTGTCAAGAATATGTAGATTCTTGCTATTGGATGGCAACTAACCAAGTCAGAATCATGGAGAATTCGCTCCAAAGTTAACATTGCACAGTATATCTGCTAATTTACACAAAGTACTGTGTCAATGTCCACCTTAAGGGCTTTCAGCCCTAAAACTTTAACAAGGACGCTATTGGGAAGCTTCTGTATATGAATTGGTGAGTACTTGTAATTTGCTGCACCAATGTTACAGAATTTTTATCTCGTCTGTATTTCTGAGGTACTTTGCGTAACAAACAGTTCAATACGCAGGAGGTAAAGCACTGGAAGGGAGTTGAGCTGATGAACACTGGAGGAAAACCAGTAAGTTTGCACTGGTGATGGGAAGGAAAGCAACACTTGGGGCAAAAGTTTGTTCTTGGGAGTACTTTGTGACACCTTGCTCAAAAGGGATGTGTTGCTGACCAATGTGAGATGAGGCGCTTTTCTATAGAACATTCGCAGAACTTTTGATCAGTATAATGTACTGTACTCAGCAGTACTTCAGCATTGCTGGGCATTTTACCGAGGATTGACACAAGAGAAGGGTTGCGGGCGATTGGGCCTGGCTTCCATCATGCGTTCAGCACGCCGAAGTTCAAATGCTGTCCTCCTAAAGCTAAGACGCTGTCTAAAGCATGGCCCCCTCCAAGTGTAGTATCTCATACATCTGGCAACGAATCCAGTGATGATGCTCGAACGCATTGATGCACACCTTCTGCAGACATCCATTGCCCATTCCACGCGCATCCACAGGCTGCTTATTTAGGTATGGCTGTCACGGTTGGCCAACCAGAGTGTGCATTGCATCATTGTACTGCTGTTGCAGTTCATGTGCTCTGCGTTGCTCCCATTGAAATTGGTTTTCTGGGCACTCACAGGCGCCGAGGGTCGCAACTGATGACACTGTGATGACCTCCATCAGAGCACGCAAAATGGTGAACTGCGGGTCCCCATGCTGACCTTCGCAAGAAATTTAGCGGTGGGGCCGTTCCAAGGTGCGTTCGACGCTCGACCCAATATTGGAAACTGGCCTCCCAGCACAGCCACCGCCTGTGCTTGTAGTGTCAAATATTTCTAAGTAGCAAAACACCTCGTTTGTGGCATGTTGATGTGCAGAGATGAATGCATGTTGTTGCTCATTTGGTGTCTGCTGTCTGATGCATGCTACCGGACCTCAGCACAGTATTGCAGCCGTGCTTTTAAGTGTTATCTCAACACAAGGCGGGCTCTGCGCGGATCTACACGTCAGCGTGATGTTGAAGCAGCTGCCCAAACTTCCGTCCAGTTGTATTGGCAGGTGAAGTTGTGCTGCGGTCGAACAAAATTGTTGAGACACAGTCAATATGGTTGAACCACCTGACGCCCAGCTGCGTTCACAGGACGGCGTCGCGAACTTCACATATCAAATCTTCCCAAACCGCGGAGCGGCAGTTGGCACTTGTGAGCAGAGTTCAAGATTCGTGGCCGGTGTGGCGGCTTCGGATGTCAGATGTTTCAGAAGGCAGGCTTGAACTGCCCCGTGCAGAGAAGTCCGGCAAGCACGGAATTTTGGAATATTTCATAGAACGGAGTGTTAGGCCTAACACTCCGTGTCCCTAATTAGGGACAGCTCCCCTTAGTATTGAACAAATCGATGAACGCTTGAGCTTTTGTGCTTGGAGGCAATGAAGCGGAGCACGGCAGTGTATGGGCTGAATGATAGCACGTGAGTTGAGCGCAGCAGGAGCATAGTACCTTGCCGATGCTGGAGACACGTCCTGAAAAGCATATCCTGGACGTGTCGCTGATGCTTTGGCAATTTGCTCATTTTCAGCTTGCCGGTATTTAATTATCGAATGGCCCAGGAGTTGAACGAACGATCAATTGAATGTTCTCTCTGAACAGCATCTCCCGGCTATGTAGGGGCACCACCGTTTGGTCACTGTGGTGCCCGACTCTGTAATCGGGTGTTGTCCAAGATCTCAGCATCTCATGAGGCGCCCTGATCAAGGCGCTTTTCTCATGGCAACTTGGATTGTAGCTGTTGTATTGTTGGATTGTGCATCCAGTGGTTGTCTAATCCGGTCAACAACACCATTCATGCCGGCAGTGCACCGTACCCGTTTGAGAGGTAGCGATTTGGGGCTGATCACGGGATCATTGGGGAGTTTGGCAGCTGAGGTTGTGTAATGCACAGCTCCTCTCCCATTAAGGAGCTGTGGCAGCTCAGAGGAGACAGCACACTTATCCGTCTGGGAGTTCAGTATCAGCGAGAGCCTTCCAGACCGCCCCACCGATCTGATCTGTGACGCTCTCTTTGACTTTTGGGGAAATTTCCATCTCGCACAATACCCTTCCATGTTGAGACACTTTGAACATCGCGTATGAGCAGCAAGCCGTGCGGTGAAATGGGCTCGACTATTCACATATAGTCTGCATTAGGGATGGTAACCGCGTACAATGATACCAGGGCCCCCGGGGGGGGGGGGGGGGGGGGCGGCTCGTTTTTCTTATACCCGCTTACCCCGGTACCCACCAACCCTTGCACCCGGGTAGGCATGTACGGGTACGTACCCGGGTATAGGTGGCTACGGGCGGGTACCCGAATTATCCAGGTAGGGCAAGTACCCGGATCCAGGTACGGACCCAGTACTGCACATTTGACCAGCGCTCGCACGATGCTTTAGTTTGTACTGCCTTGGTTTTCGGGAAGGTCGTCATGTCCACACGGTGTGTGGCTGCCTCCGCGATCGTGCACAACGCCAATTCTCCATACACTCTTCCATGGGCCGCGCTTTTGCATGGTGTGCGCTGGAGTCATGGCCAAGAGTACCGTAAAATATTAAACCCTTCCGCATCGGTCCATCCCGACCGTTGCGTTTTTGCTCCGCATTTTCGTCCCAGACCGTTACATTATTTTTTCTTTTGCTCCGCATCGTGTCGGGCGGGCTCTGAGGGGGCTGTAGAGCCTGTATACCAAGTTTCAGGTGCAACGGACGAGTCCCAAGCCTCGTACGGGCATGCATCGTACGACACCAACCACCCAGCTTTGGGGACGCTTCCCAAGAGTCCTAGTGACTTGCGAGGACAGGCGCGGCTGGACAGTGGGCGTCGAGTGCCATGGAACATGTGCTCTTGGGTGCAGCGACACAGTGTGGCTGCGCGGCGTCAATGGCGATGTCTGTTCCCCGGGCGCCGCGCCCCCTCCGGGCGCCGCACCCCCCTGGCCGGCCGTTGGTCAACGGGCGCGCGCCCGCCGACCCCCCCCCCACTCCCCGCCTGTGCCGTTCCGTATTGGCACCTTCGGCGTCAGTGCCCACTCTCCCCGCCGCCCGGATGGCAAGCAGCGGGCGCCTGGCTGCCGATCGATCGCCCATGAGCCTGCCGGATGGCGGGGAGCGCCGAGAGGATGGCGCAAGGCGGGGTGGGCGGCCCACCGTGGGCTTTCGCGTGTCCAATCGGCGGCGGGCCGTGCGACGCGATGGGCTGCCCGGGTCCATCCGTGATGGCGCAGGAATATGCCTGCGATCGCTTCCCGCGGTTCGAGGCCCGACTCGCCCGGTAGGCAAGCGGCGGGCGCCGGCCTGCCTGCCGATCGACCGCTCAGTGGCCTGCCAGTTGCCGGGGCCAAGCCCGTTCTGAAGCCGCTCCCCGGCCGTTACTAAATTCGGCTGCTCCGCATCTCGCTCCGGCACCGTTACTTTTATATTCATCGACTCCGCGAAAAAGGGCCCAGCGTTACGTTACTATGCGGAAGGGCTTAAAAAACTACAGTAGTGGCTCCCACTCCCGCCATTTCTGCCCCTTGCGGCCACCGGCTGGTGCCACCCGCGGGTGCCCTGATTGGCATCCTTGAGTGGCATCAATCGGGGCCACATGTGGCCCTGTACAGGGGGCGACTGCGAGCCGCGACCTATTTTGAGCCCAATGCTTGGGCACAGAACACGCCGCAAAACGGCGAGGGGGGGAGGCCGAACGTCGCCTCCCACTCTCGCCATTTTTGCCCCTTGTGGCCACCGCCTGATGGCCCCCGCCTGATGGCCCCCGCGGGTGCCTGATTGGCATCTTCGAGTGGCATCAATCGGGGGCCACAGGGTGCAACTGCGAACTGCAAACTACGACTTATTTTGAGCCCGAGACTTGGGCGCAGAACACGTCACAAAACGGCGAGAGTGGGAGGCCGAACGTTGCCTCCCACACCCGCTGTTTTGCCCCTTGTAGCCAATGACTGGTGCCCCATGAGGGTGCCTGGATTAGCATCTGCGGGGGGCATCAATCGGCGCCCACGAGAGGCGGATCCCAAAGGTAAACTACGACTTGCGTGGTGCCCATAGCTTGGGTGCAAAACAAGCCACAAAACGGCGGGGGAGGGAGGCCGAACGTCGCCTCCCACTTCTGCCACTTTTGCTCCTCGCGGCCGCCGAACGGTGCCACCCGCGGGTGCCCTGATTGGCACCCATGAGTGGAATCAATCGGCACCTCCAAGGAGCCAAAGTGAGCACCACGCTTCGCCGCACATAAGCGGAGATCTGCGGCGGATCTCGTGCCTCCCCTGGCCTCTTTGGGAGGGCCTGCTACACCGCCCTTTTGCGGATGCACCATCCTTCCCTCTACAAAATACCATGTTCGCGGAAACGGATGGGTGCCACCACCTCCGTCCGCAAACTTTGCACCTTTGCAGCGTAGTTGTCGCGGACTCTGTCAGCCAGCCAAGCGCGTCGCAGACTGGTTTCTGTACCCTACTAATAGCCCCGTGGTGTGGGTGTTTCGCGGTGTTACGTGAAACACCCGGTACTCAATATTCTGGGCGGTACTCTGATATTAGTACTGCCTCACAATGGGAAATTTAAATTATGGTATAAAACATGGAAATTATGTAAAATATGATACCCGGACCCGGGCACTGGTTGTTCCCGGGTACCAGTTATAGAGGTGGCCA